TTTACGGTTACTGTGTACGGTTGTCGTAATATGCCGTAAATCATCGTGTACAGCTGCTGTTTACGACGAGCGTAAAAAGTTACCGTTTTTTGACGTATTTAGTTGGTGAACGGCCGTTTACTGCCGAGCGTCATTGACCTGGGTATCTTTGCAGGTATTACAGTTAATAGCTAATTAACATTCTATCATTTTAAGGGTAGACTTATTGAATTTTTTTCTTAACTTTATTAAAAATAGAAGTCCAAAGTATTTGTTAACGTTTGCTTTGAAAAGCTAGTTAATAAAACAAATGTATGAGTAATCAATTAGATAAGGGCACAGAACACTTTTTTTTTCATCCATCCAAAAAGACTTTGAAATTTCGGAATGAAAAAAAAAAGCAGAAAATGATCAACGAGAAACAAACAACAACAATATCTATAAAATGCACTTCTTATTGATATAACTCACTTAAAATCATAGAATATTTAACTATAATCTTTAAGGTAGTCCTCATCTTCATGACTGAGACTCGACTTTTTTGTCGTCGAAGTTAATAAGATTATATTTTTCATTCTTACTTTATATTTTGAAAAAGAAACTTCATCAGTAAAATGATATTGAAATGTATTATGTCCATTAGTAATTTGTTGAATAACAAATTTTTTATTTATTAATCTCAAAAGAATAAGATCTTTTGGTGTATCAATAACATTTAAATATCCTAATAATAATAAAATATTATTAGGTGTAAAATAAAGTTCAACATCAAATTCAATAGTTAATTTAATTCCAAACATAAGAATTAGATCTCCATTTATTAAATACGATTAATACCTGTTATGTATTATTATATATGATATTAATAAACCTCTTAATGGTCTATTCATTTATAGAATTCTTTGTATAGATAGTTGAACTTGTACACACATTAATTATCTACAAACAAGAAATGATTTTCATTTAACATATCCATGATCAGAACGTTTTATAAAATCTAATATACGATGATATATAGCTTGACCAACATCAGAATCCTATCATTTAATAGTTACATCTAATGTCGTATTAATTATCTCAATTAATAATGCACTTATTAATTCATAATCATAATAAATATTTTCAAATAAATTTTTTTTTCTATTCTTATATTATGTGAATCAATTATACTTATACATGATGATGGTAAATATGGATATTTTTTCAGTAATGATAGTTTATTATAAATAAATTTATGAAATGATACCAATGTTTGATAAAGTAAATTATTACGAAATGGTGCATAACTATTTCAATCAAATAATAATAATAATAATAATTTATGTACTCGATTCCTTTGAAATCGATATTTTTATTAAGTCGAGTGTCTTTTTTCTATATGACGTAAATCAATTAATCATGTTTGATGATTAAGATTATTTTCAAATAATAAATATGTTAAAATGTTATGTTTAAGGTTTGAGTGCCAAAGAATATTTGAAAGTCAGTTTTGAATCAGTCCTGAATGATAATTTTTTGGTAACTGATGAACTGAAATACAGATGAAAAAAAAACATTAGTGCCCTTTTCTCCTATAAACATGATGTAAAAATTTTTAATATGTATAACATTCTTTTAATCTTTTATCTCTTTGAGTAAATCTTGTTTTATTATTACATAAACAATTATTAAAGATGACAAGGACAAGAATAAGAAAACACGACCGAGATGAAGAAACACAATCAAGATGAAGAAACTGGACCGAGACGAGAAAATACGACAATGGACAAGAAAAAAAAGACAAAAAAAGAAGACACAAAAAAAACACCAAAAAAAATCAGACGCAAAAAAAGGAAGAAAAAAATCCAGACTTTTTTCGTCTGCTTCATCATATAAATGTCGCGTTACCGTTGTGTCTTTGTCATCATCATTCATCGTCATCACCATCATCGTCATCGTCGTCGTTGTCGGCGTAAAACTTGTCGTTTTGTATTTTTTCTGCATTTTTTACTAAAAAACAGCCACAATGCTTTAATGAAATTCTTATTAAATAAGCTTACATTTATTTCGAATTAAATTCAACATCTCTTCACCCAACAATTTATATTCAGCTTGAAGTAACATTCGTGTTGTTAAATCAGCACTTGGTGTTTGAAGTATTTTCTTATGCAATTGATTTAATCTTTTGAACATGATTTTAGGGT